TGTCTAAAATTGATTAATCTGTAAATATAATACCCTAAAAGGCCCTGAACTAAGCTTCTAGGTTTATTACGTTTTGGTTTGTCTGATTTTAAAAAAGCACTCTAGGGATATCTGTTTAAGAGGAGAGATGAGAGGTATAGACTATTGCCCATTCAGCCAACCCGATCCCCTAGAATTGAACCCACGTCGAATTATCAGCGTTCAGCGATTTTACCGCTCAGCCTATGATGGAAACTTAAGTTTCGAGGATACAAAGCGTTACTAACGCAACAAAATCAATAACTAAAATCACAATAAATTGTACTAAAGTCAACTTAATGCAATGATTTCCAAATTTTTGTACAATAAGCACCATATTTTGCATGATAAAATTAAAACACCATGCTATTTTATTTGCAAAATTTTAATATTTTGGAAGGTATTTAAGCGAGAAAATTTGCATTAGATGATTAAATGTGAAACTACAAATAAATATATTTATATTGCAGTCATCTCAAATGTATTTTTATTAAATAAAATGTGAAGAATGTGTTAAAAGATTCTTAGTTCCAACAAATGATCACAACTTAAATTGTTAATTTCCAAAATTTCAACCTGAAAGCTCAGCTATCGTACTGATTCATTCCTCCGTACTATTTCCTCATTAACTCTTTCTCTCTTTCTGTCATAGCGGGAACGACATTTTTGCATCCATTTTCTAATTTAAACAGAAATATGGCATTGCCACTCGTGCTGTGTTGATAATGGAAATGATTATTATTTGGAATTTTCGCCTCCACTCTGTACCTTTGCAAATAGTTTTGTCTTGTCAAAGAATAAACTTGGGAATTTTCATCGAAATAAGAATACCCTAGATATGAGAGCTACCAAGAACACATATCATTATCTTAATTCTGATTGTCCAAATGTACTTAAACCAATTCTTCTGTCAATGTAATAACTTAAGTTGATTTTGAGTAATATACTGAAGTTATCTTTGATAACACATTCCTTAGGATATTTGTTTGACAACTAATAGTTGATGGGAAGTAAAGATTTACTATGTTAACATTAATTAGAGTACAATAAATAAGGATAAATCACAATTTTATTCGAAATAAGTGTATGACTGAATAATCTGTTTTTGGTATGTGTACGTTTTTTATTATGAAACATCTCGAACCGTCAAAGCATCTGCTTTACTGGTAGCAGAAATCGATGTAAACTACCGATAGGAAAAAAAGATTAAAAATGGACTCCGCGTTTCGAAGTAATATTTTTTGTTCCATGTTATCACACAGCTGAGGTCGTTATCTTGAACTAGAAACATTTTTTTAATATGTTTTCTTCGTTTGTAGTGGAAGCATCCGTAATCTCAGGCACAGAAAATCGATCGGTCCAGTTTCATTGGTTGAGAAAATTGTGAACGCAGGTAAGAGCACAAAATGCCTGTTGACTGCGGTTTGTTGGAAAATTGAGGAAGTTTTAGGAAAGTGCACATCTCTCTTTTATGTCGATCACGTCGTGCTCCTTTTAAATTGAATATATAAACTAAGGTAAGAGAAAAAAAAACGAATTTGAAACCGGAATACATTCGAGATTTCCATCGTTAATTGTGGATAAATGTGAATGCTTTAAAAGCTCTCGCATATAAGCTGTAATTGCCACCGTCAATGCGAATTTATTCTTGAAATGGAAACACTGCTAAGAGGTGGAATTAAAAAGAAACATCTTTTAGACATGCAGTTAATAAGCGAAATAAAACCAGTGGAGAATATAGTGTATTTGCAATTAAAATCTCCTGAATTTTAATTCGTTTGAGTTTGATTTTCATGTGTCATTCACATGCATATTCATTATCCCTAAATGTAATAATTAATTGGATTATTTCGAGAAGAATATTAAATTGGTTTGAGAAAACTGCACATAATAATCATTTAAAAATTTGAGAAAATTAATTCATGGAATTCAAATGATCTTCACTTTCTTTAATGTGGCAACATAATTTAATTCAGAGAATTGCCTTGCAGTAACTAATTAAATAATCCGGACTAACATATATGATGCTTCTTTATTCCGCTTATGAATTTTTTAGAATACGAACATTCTTTTTTTTTCCATTTTATCTTTATATAAATGATTTGGTTTACTACAAAATAAAACATAAAATTTGAAATGTTCGACAGATTTTTGTTAAGATCTATAATTATTGAAATTTTGTTAATTTTTCTTGCCTAAAAACGTAGCTTATTTTTAAATATAAAACAGCGTGTTTGCATTAAAAAGTTATTCACAAGATCAAGTAGAGCGAAAGATGAAGTATGAAAGAACATTAAATCACGTCAATGTTATATGGGTCTTTCATTACTTTTTCCGTAATTGCAGAGTTACTATCAGAAAACCATAATTGTCATAAAACGTTCTTTCATACTTGAGCTGAGGTTTAAAAGATACTACATAGAGTCCATAATTTCCACAAAAAAAAATGCCTTGGAATTGACCACTTATGATGGAAGCTTTGTGGAATTTATGAAGAAATTTTTTATTGGAGTTAAATGGAAAAGACATCATGCAGCCAATTTATTTGTTGAGACTAGCTATCAGCATTCAGAGATCTTACACATCTAACAATAAGAAAACACGAACATTAACGGAAAAGTATAAAAGCTTAGAATTCAGAAGTTAATTGCTACAAAGAACTTGTAAAATTAAAAATATTTCTACTTGTTAATCTAAATATTTCTTCTATTGAAAATATATTATTTTATTTATTTCTACTTCATCTTGGTAAACTTGTTTCCTCATTTGAATACGCAAGACACATCAACACTTTCTACATAAGAGGAGGATGCCTTTGCAGAAATCTCTGTTTACGTTCTGTAAGAACAAAGCCGCTCAAGTCGCCATGTAGTGAACATGTGATTGGCCCGATGGGTTCGAGCCCATTTCGAAATAACAATATTCACCAGTCTTTTCCTATCGACCACTGGTGTGGATTGAGAAATACTTGGGTTACTTTGGTTTTGTTATTAAATCATGTTCACTCACGTATGTGTCATGAGTGGCACTCTAACGTAACTAAATATAAGCATTTTGATGTAAATGAGTTGATTTTGAAGTAATATACTGAATACTTATTTACCCAAACAGAAGGTCCATATTAAAATGTGCGATAAGAAAAGCAGAACCCTTTCAATTACCTAAATAAAACAGTTTATAAATATGTTTCAATAAAGAATACTATTAGAAGAAATGATAATTCATAAAAAATGTGCAGACGCTGCATACTCATATATAGACCTTTATTTATTTATTAAAATTTTTTATAGTTCTGAATAAAGTAACTTTAACATGATTATTGTACAAGTCACTATGTTGTTACAGCGCATATGTTTTGACTAATTGAATTATTAATCGATACTGAAAATTTAACTGCCACGGGTTTAGAAAGAGAATAGCTAATTTAATTAGAATTTATATTACTGCCTTCAAGTTTCATTTTAAGTGCAATGGCCTAGGCAAAAATCAAACATTATAAATTGTTAATGTTTCAGTTGTTTAATGTGTTTTAGTTGTTTCTAATTACAACTCTAAATTTAATATTTAATAATTTATATAATATTTATAAAATAAGATATTTGCTGTATTTAAAAGCTTAAGTATAAAACATAAATGTTTTGTAAACATTTAGAAAAAATATATAATTATCCTCTCATGTGAAACAAATAATTGTTTTTTTATTTTAAAAATCGTGGTAACGTTCCTCTCAAAAATCAAGATTTTTGTAAGGACTGTTGAAATGGATTTCCCAACATCTTTAAAATAAATCTGTGGCTCCAAAAGACTGTTCTCATACCATATTGTTGAGGTAGCATATTATCACTTTTCGCAAAAGGCAGCAATAACTTAGATTATAAAAAGTTAAGTATTCCCCCTATACATGGTGTTTGAAAACAGAGATTGCCGGGTCTGTGTCTTAAAATATTGATCTTATACTTCCAGTTATAACTCATCTTAAGGTAGAGAATTTTATAAAAACATTTCTGCGGCGATTAAGTAGGCGATTCATGTAAAAAATGTAACTTTTCAAATGGTTCCTACAGTTAACATATTCCAATTGGATAACTCATAATTATTTAATAATACAATGTCAAAGTGATAATAATAACGAAATATAGTCTAAGTCAAAAACATGTACACAAATAATAGATTTACGGTGTCGGGTGCAATTTTAATAATGGCTACTACAAAATTACATAACCCTTAAACATCGAATGCCGAAATTTTTGTTTTGTATACATTTTATAGATGTGGTCGAGAATTTCAAATTACACTTTTGACAACAGACAAGTGGCTTAAGTCAGGAAATTGCTCCTTTACGACATCCTGAAATTTTGCATGTAAAGATTTGGAATGTCTTTTTATATAATTTCATAAAGCATAATGCATATTTTACTAATCATGATTTTTCTTCTACAGGTATCATATGAAATTTGCGTTTATAGTTATAGAGCCTTCTCCTAAGCGAAATAAGAAGAATCCTAATAATAAGCGAAATAGCCTTGATTTACTTTAAAACTTTATTAAGCTTAAGTCTGTTAAAATTTCCTATCTTAGGATGCTGATCTGACATATATATCCTGGAGAAGGCATGGATGTAAACTGCCGGTCCCCTCATAGGAGGTAGCGGTGGTCGCCTGTTAGGTGCCTCCACAATAAAATGACCACCATTTCTGGCCTTAGTAGTGGGGAAAGTCTAAAAACGAATAGTGACCACCATAAAAAATTATAAAACATAATGAAAATCTAACATGTGAGGACAGATATTTTCATTTTAAAAAGAAATAATACAAATATAAAATAATAAAATTCAGTACATTTACCTATAGATAACATGTTTTGTTATATTTTATAAATGAGTACTTACACTTAGGTCTGGAAAAATTACATATATGTGACATAAACTTCATAGTAATATTCATGTTTTATATTACTTTACAAAAAGAAAACTTTCAGCTTACCAGATCGAATGGGAAACCCATGAAGAGAGGTGGACCAATGCTTGTTTTCCGCCGTTCTGGTAGCCAGACTGTCGAAGGAAAAAGAGAAATGTATGTAGTAATATACCTTTACCTTAAGAGACTATCATCGAAAGAATTTGGGAAACAAATCTATATTTGCATTTTCATCTCTGATCAATTAATTTTTCACACAAAATTTTGTGTTACAAGTATATTGTTATAGTTTCATTTTAGAACGTATATATAGGCTTAGAACGTATATTTAGGCATTTTAGAACGTATATACTTTATGGTTTACGTATAAATAGCATTATTTCTCCTAAAATAAACTACCAACTCATATTGCAGTAGTATTATATTTGTGCAGAAATTAAGAAATAGTTTGGCATTTTAAGCATTTTATTAGAATTAATTACAAATAAATATCTCTTTGAAATTACGTTCCGTAAATTCATAAACATGAAACATAAAATTAACATTTTTTGTTGTTATATATAAATTCTTCTGCAAAAGATTTAAAAAAACACTTCTTAATCATGCGCTTACATTATTTTCCTTTAAGTATTCGTGGTTGCATTTCTGGCGTTCTAACGACAATATTCATATTTTTATATTAACAATGGAAAATGCTGTAGAATAATTAAACATAATCTAAGAAAAAATAGGCGGAACAGCGAAATGTTTTGTGATTCAACTGATTTCATTTAAAAATAATGTATATTGTTGAAAGAGAGGATTATTTCTTATTTCCGCGGTAATAGGAAAAATAATTTTTGTCGAGCAGAACAATGTCTGTTAACAACAGATAGAAAATAGGTTTTTAGTTATGTGTTTAGGATATAACAGAGTTTTTTCCAATATGATACCTTTTTCATTTTAAATTTGCACATTTTATGAGAATATTTTACAGATTTGTTAACTTATTTTTAATATTATTAATCTGGATAAATTGAGATAATGTATAGAAATTCAGCCTTTATTAATTGAAGAAACGCTTTTAATGGTCTTTTTAAAATTTTATTGGAACAATGAAATATTACTGTAACTACTTATAGCTTACCGAATCGAAATAGTTTCAACATCATTAAGCAAGCGTTTTAAGATAATCGCTAAAGACCTACAATATAGTGGAAAGAATAATACGGACAATAATATCACGAGCAGTACTTGCATTACATCAAAATTCTGAAATAAAAAGCGAATTTTGTAATGAAATCTTGTTTCCATCTGTGACGTTTCGTTACTAACTTCCTAAAGATTTAAATAACCGAAACTACATATTTCAGAATACTACATTTAAATTTGATAAGTCTTGCAAAACTACTTTACATCTGTAACGCAACAAACATTTTGGTCAAGGCAAATACGACTATCGGTTAGAATAACTAATGGTATTGTTTTTACCTTTTTTACTGATTTCAGAGAAAGACTTTTTGTATTATTTTAGTTTTAAATTTTCTCTGTACATATAGATGCTATTCGATAGATATAGATGCGCAAAGAAAGAATAGAGAAGGTTTACACGGGAAATTATTAGAAAAGTGAAGCAAGCGTAGTTACATGACAGAAAAATTACATCGCTTCGAAACGTCCCCATCTTGAGCAAATATTCGCTGAATATCCTTTCTTCAGGTCGAAGAAAAAACAGAAAACAGTTGGCTCATTTGAGAATTTGACGTAAAGTAAACCTGTAGCTTTTTGCGAAAGCGGAATTCCCTATTCCAAGCAACCAACGGCAGCGCAGAGCATCAAATGCGTACGCATTACGTAAACATTCAACAGAATCTTTTTCCCATTCCGAGATTAAAAGTCTGAATTTCGCCCTGGGGAATTCTGTACGACTCCAGACATAAAGCAGAAAAAGGAAATTCTGAAGCTGATTAGGCGCAAAATTTATTTCGATATTCTGCAAAGTATTTTTATATTTCTTTTTATTTTGTATTTAAGGCAATCTTGTTTACGCCAGAAGACAACTTTGCTTTAGTTGATGGCATTATGCTTCAGAAAAGTCCATTAGGCACAAAACATTTTAATAAAATATACGGCAATATATCATACGCATGGTTTGCGTGTTTATGCTTTTATTAAGGCAAAAGAAAGTATAGCAATTTCATTGGCTTTACAGCATATAAATATGTGATGTCTGATAATATAGGCAATACAAAAATTTAATTACTCGGCTACAAAAGGCTTCAGCAATCACTAGAACTTACCTTTGATTAATTAACATTAATAATCCAGATTTTAGTTTCCGAAACTGTGACAGTAAAGGAATAATTGTCACAATCTCACTTAAAAATATGCTTTCATAAATTATTTTTATAATGAAGAAATCCATTATAGATACCTTTAGTAATAGAAGCAAAAGTCCTAGTATGATTGGGCGACTAGGTGAAGTTAAATAATTATATCTATAATTTCATAATACTGAAAGCGGGGGAGCTCATTTTACAAATTATACATTTAATGGACCTGCCAGCCTCAGTACAATTTTAAGACTATTATTACGCAATTTAAATTTGTAGCTCATAAGTTTATTTCCAGATATCTTGAAACAAAATCACAGCTAGTTTCTCACCTAAAAGAATGAAAACTTACTCTCACTTTAATTTTATATATTTAATATAAAATATATAATACATGAACTGTGACGTAGAAATTTGGGCTGTATCAATGAAATTCAATCAATCCTGCCTTTCTAAAATAATTAGCTTTGTTTTTTCAGAATTAATAATAAAGGAACTTATTTGCAAATTCTAGGTTAAGAATTTAATAGTTAAGTTTTTGCAATATTTGCGTTGTCCTGAAGCAATAGTTTTACGCTAGGAAAATTTTATTCTCAGAATGTTGTGTTTCATTATGCTTTATCTTGAAATTTCTTTCCAATTTGGCCTTTTACACAACATGTGAGATACAAGCATGATACCAAAAGTTATGGATTTATCTTAAGAATCAAATTCAGATACGTCTTTTAATCTGGCTTTAATAAGGCAAATTTAGAAAAGTATAAACGAACTTAACTACAAAGGGAGAAAATATTACTTAAAATAATATAAATACATGACCTTGGTAAACTTTGCCCCCTCCAAACACGCACACTTACCTTCTTGACACTACATTACCTAATCATACTCCTTAGTTTTATTCAAACTATGTAACTTGATTTGTCAAATGTGAATGAAATTGCAGAAGAGTTTGGATGACAAACTTTATTATTTGTAGAATATGCATTTAAATTTTAATAAAACGTTCAAATCTTTAATAAAATCCTTAATTAGAAAATAATTAGGTTTGATTCTCTTCTGACATTTTTACTCTAATTAAAAAATTGTGAAGTATTTATTTTTCACGGTAAGATAATTATTCAATCGTTTTGGTCTTATAGCTCAAACGCACGCTATGTAAAATAGACAGTTTTTAAAACAAATCTGAATAACGTATAGGAGCACATATTAGCAATCTAAAGCCTAATTGCAAACACATATTCTTTTAAAAACTTACAAAATTCTTCAATTTCATTTATGGCATTTCATTTCCACTTCAATCTGTAAACCATTAATTCCTCTAATGTGATGCTAAAAAATTTCATTTTTGAAAGACTCATTTTACTAATTTGAATTCTAGTATACTATGAGGAAAATACCTGTCATCGAGGAAAAAGCTCTACAAATCGACAGTTAAATATATTACTAAATTTACATATCATAATGATAAATAAAATTTCATTAGAATGCGAGTAGTTTACTTATACAAATGTTGAGTTTAGCTTAGCAAGAAAGAAATAATGTGTCTCTAGCTGCTCCAATCGCAATTTTGACCTTTATAATAACTGTATTGCAATAAACTTCAATCAAAAAATGATACTACTGAATTTATTGTAAGTCATATTTAAACTGACGAGAAAGCTATTAAACTCATCCTGGCAAATGACTACACTATTAATTTTTTTAGTGAACTCTGTTTAGTTTTCGGCTTATTCATAGTAAAGTGTTCTTAGTTTTGGAACTTCTTTTGATATCATATTTTATCTAAACTAAATTCATCTCCAAATCTCATTAACATGCTGAACCATTTTGTATTATATTTGACGCTGCTGCACTTTAACACAAATTTCAATTCTTTTTTCTAGCACTCATTTCATAACTCTCCATACTGAAGTTTTTACACCTTACGCCTAGTAGCTACTGCTCTTAACATTTCGTTGCTTTCACCCCTCTTTCGTATGAAATGCATAGCTATGCGTTACGTCAAAAGCAATTCAGGAAATTCGACTCTTTCCTTAATATAAAATAAATGCGTAGGAAGTTATCGCTTAAGTTTTTCCATTCAGAAAGTAGGAATTTTTATAATTAGAGAGCTTCTTAATACAGCGTGGTGAAACATAAACCTAACCGGGCTATAAAAGACGTTACTTGTTTTGGGTTGGATTTATATTGAGTTACCCGATGGAAAAAAGACACTAAATGGTGAAAGAATTTTGTGCAAAATATCAAGAAAATAAAAGCATTGGAAAGTTTAGTTTTCCCCCCATACTTTTGTTTTTTTAAGTGATTTATTTTTTGTGACTTCATCATTCATTTTCATAAATCTTTATTTTGACACAACATCACTCATTTTCTTAAAATTATATACTATTCAAAACTTTTGAGCAAAATATTTCATATTTTCTTATCGGTAAACGTTTTCAGTGTGGGGCAGTAAGTTTTTATTCATATGCGTAATACATTTATTTAGCACTGTTATGAATGGGGAAATATTTGTTTATTAATATATGATAATATACATTAATATCTAAATGTATAATTTTTCAGAACATCCTTCGTTTGAGCACAGTTAATCTTCGGTTTTCTGCGACTAATTTAAAATTATTTTCTTAAAAATATTACACAGAAATAGTTTTAGTAACCGTAATGTTGTTCAGAAAGTTAATAACGTTTCAATTACGATTACATAGACAAGAGAATCTAATCTAAATCATTTTAGACAGTGCCTCTTACCTACGATCTATACTTCAAAGGTACATTAAATAGTGATATGTAAAACAGCGAAAAAAGGAAGAAAAAAGTGA